AATCCGTTCACGTTTTCAACATCATACGATTACAAGCAAACACTTGTGCGTCATTTAATTCAACAATGTGACAAGTGTAATAATAAAACTATTACACGTTATTAAAATTTAAGAATATTCTTAATATGATTAAATACAATGTATAAGTGGATTGATTTTTCAATATTTAATTTAACATAGATTACAAACGTTCTACTTACCTCCAGACGCAACTTTAACAAACTGACGCTCACCACTACTAGATTCGGTGCCTTCGTCTTACTCCTTGCAACTATATACCGGAAGACTAGTGGTGCCAACTACAAAGTAACATTCTAAATATCATGTGTAAAGTTATAGTAAAATTAATATAAAAACTTTATTTCAAATTAATATAATTACAAAATTACACTATAATTTTATATTCGTGTTATAACTAAACAATATTTAACGTTATAAGTAATAACGTTTATGTTGATTACTTGTAACTTGTGAATAACTTCATTCGTCCAATAAAAAAAAGGTGGATACATGATATCATAATTTAAAACGTCGGCGGTTTTTTCAAAAAGTAGGATTGATGAGATTAATTTGTTTAGATTCTGTTTTCTGTCGAACGCTTTACTTGATAAACATGTTCTGTATGCGTGCTAACTTATAAATTTTACGATTTTAGTGTACATTAACATATTTTTAGTTTTTCTGCAAAATGTTCATTTTAAAAATAATAATTAAAATTTTTACATACTTATTGACATTTTACATACTTGGAAGAATTTAATTTTTTCGTTACGTTGATGATGAATTATTTATTCTAATTAGTTGTAAGTAATAATTTTACTACATAGGTATGGATATTTATTACAAAAATTAACGGTACTGTTTAAATATGGTAAAGTTTATTTAATAACATCACAGATACAATAATTATGTACACAATTGTTGGAGAAAATGTTTAGCCCGCTGGTTAAACACTTTCAACTATCCCATTGTCAATGTAAGCACTGAAGTACTAGGTTTCAGATAAAGGTGCTCCATAAGGGCGGACATTTGACAGTTTCGAAATAGAAACTTTCGATTTTCAAAATCGTACTGCAGTCTAGAATTACAATTTATTCTAGACATATGCTTATGTTTGCATTACATTTTTTTTGCTAATCATTAGTACACAATTAGCAGCCATCAGTTATTACCCCAAACGTATTACAAGTTGTCTTCCGACGAGGGCAATTTATCAAATACATAAAGT